TAAAGAGATAACCCACAAGTGGGAAAAAATGTTTGCCAGCTGTCTCTCAAACAGAAGACTAATGTCTAGAATACATAGAGCACTCAAAAAAATCAGACTGCCCCCCCAAATTTAAAGACTCAATGAAAAAATGAGCACCTGAGATAAATACATACTTCCAGAGGAGTAAGTAGAAATGTCAATAAATATCTGAAAAAATTCAACATCTCTGGTCATTTGAGAGATGCAAATTGAAATAATGGTGAGATTTCATTTCATTCCAGAAAGAATGGTTATCAAGAAATTAGCCAAATGGGCCAGGGAGATGGCTCTGTAGAATAAGTGCTTGCCTGGCAAGCGCAAGGGCCTGAGTTTAATCCCTGGTTCCACCAAAAAGAAAAAAAAGAAAAGAAAAGAAAAGAAAAGAAAAGAAAAGAAAGAAGGAAAGAAAGAAAGAAAGAAAGAAAGAAAGAAAGAAAGAAAGAAAGAAATCAAACAATAACAAGTGCTGGTGGGGATGTGGGAAAAAAGGATCCTTCTTCACTGCTGGTGGGAATGTAGACTGGTTCTCAAAAACTAAACTAGAGATTCTATTTGACTGAGCTATTTCCCTTCTTGGTATTATCCCAAAAGAATTGAAAGCATCATACCACAGTGATATATGTGTATTCATGTTTGTAGCAGCACTGTTTGTAGTACCTACATCTTGGAAACAACCCAAATGCCATCAACAGATAAATGGCTAAAGAAGACATGGGATTTTTATACAATGGAATATAATTCTGCCCTAAAGAAGGGCAAGCTTGAGACATTTCCAGGTAAATGAATGCACTTGAGACCATACTCTTTAAATGAAATAAACCAGACGCAAGTATGTAAATACCACTTTGTTTTTCTGGTGTGAAAAACTGAAAGTATAAAATAAAGAACAAAATGTGTCATAGATATTATGAAACAGGAAGGAAATGTTCCAGTGGGGAGGGGAGCTAGGGTGGGATAGGATGAAAGGAAAGAAGGGAAAAGAAAATAAGATGATGTGCAAAAATGGAAACAAAACTTTTATAAATAAGGAGGGGGAAAGGGGCTGAAGAGAGAGGAGAGGAATGGGGGAAAGGAAGCAAGAGATGTCATGCGCAAGTGTGGATCCTGCTAGGCTTTGGGTCTTGCTTTCGCCCCAAAGCCTCATGCAGTCAGGGAGACAGGGTTCTAGAGTCTGACTCACGGTCCAGCGCTGGGACTATGGGCATGAGCACTACACTCACCCTGGATGGGTAGCCCGCCTACAATATAAGGGACAGAAAAAGTCTTCTCTCACACTCCTTTTTGCTCTTGCTACTTTTGCTGTCTTCTTCTATCATTAAATATTTCCTCCGTGCCTCGCCACCCTGCCTCAGAGCCAGCCAAGTATGGACAGAAACCTCCACAAACTATAAGCTAAATGAACCTTTCCTTCCTTTAGTTTGGGCATCAAGTATTTTGTCTCAGCAACAAGAGAGAAGTAACTAAGATAGATTCCTAATGATAAATGTTTTCATTATTTGTATTTAAAATATACCAATAAAATTTTTAAAAGAAAGACAAATCTCCCATCTCTGGCTTTCCCTCCCAGAAATTCTGATTTATTTGGTGTGGAGGCTAATCCAGGACACTGGAAACTTTAAACCTCCCCGTTTGGTCCCTGGCCCCTAGAGATACCCAGGCTGATATTCCCGGTGTCATACCCTGAGCCCCCAGACAGGCACAGTCTCTGTGCAAAGACCAAGAAGATCCACAACACACAGGAGCACAGCCCAGCAGATGCGCAGAGTGGGTGCAAAGTACCACTGTCACCGGGCCCCAGTTACTCATCTCTTCCGAGGCTTCATTTCCCCGTCCAAAAGCGGGGAGGCCAGTTTCCCTGGACCGCTCATGGGATTTTGCAAGAGAGATGAGAGAGCACCAGCAGAATGTGGACAGAGCTGGCCTGCTGAAAGCCTAACCGCGCCTTCCCCTGTGTACCGATCTGCCACATTCTGACTACCTGGATACGGTGGAAAGCCCCGCCTCCAGGGCTTGGATACCCAATGAGTGAGTGTATCTGCAATTTGTAGAAAATAAGAAATAGGGAAAATTGATATAAGGCAAATGTTGATGTGAAATTTTCCCAAGATGCATGTTATGCTCTGTATCTAGCTGTTCCCCTAAAGCCTTGTGTAACAGGGTGGGCTTCTAGAGCTTTTGATTGATCCTTGGCCCAGTGCTGGGATTTTGGGTGTGAGTGCTACACCCGCCCTGGGGCAGGCAGCCTGCATACAATGTAAGGGAGGGAGAGGGGCTTGCTCTCTGCCGCTGCTCCTCCCTTTTTGCACGTGCTGCTTTGGCTGTCTTCCATTGCCAGGAACTGCTGCCCTCTGCCGTGTGCCGCCCTGCTTGGAGCCAGCTGAGCATGGACTGAAATCCCCACAAACTGTGACCTAAATAGACCTTTCCTCCTTAATTTTAGGTGTTGAGTATTTTGTCTCAGCAACAAGAGAGAAAAGTAACCATGACAATGTATATTTAAGGGGACTGTCTTAGCTTCTTCGGGCAGCTAGGGCACAACTGCTGCAGACTGGGTAGTTTAAGTAGTGGACTATCTCCCTCAGCCCTGGGGATGGGGAAGCCCGAGGTCAAGCCTCTGCAGATTTGCAGGTTTGATGTCTAGTGAGGACGCATTTCCTGGTTTATAAAGTCTTCTGACTGCATCCTCCTGGGGTGGAAAAACAGGGATCTTCTCTCAGACAAGGACTAAGTGCCACAGGGCTGCAAAGTCCAAGGCCATTACGACTCAGATTTGTGTCTCCATAATGAGATAAACACTTCTACAAACTTCCAGAGATTAAAAAAAAAAAAAAAAAAAAGCACCCAGATCTTACACAGCCAACCACCTGTTCTCGAGCTTCTTGCTACCCACAGGGCTTGAACACTCACCTTTCTGGAAGGGCAACTCCAGAGGGAAAACGGCCAAGCAAAGAAATGAGCAGGCTACATTGTAGGGAGTGTTTGTCTGATGCTAACTTCTGACCCTGCCGCTGGAGCTGGCTGAGGTCTCGGAGCGATTTAGTTAACCTGAGAATTGCATCCCTGTCCCGGTGTGGCCTGGAAAGGGCCCGGCTCTTGGCATTGGAAGTGTGGCCAATAGCCCCGGCTGAGCCTTCTCGCATGCATCCGGGTTCAGTCCTGGAAGCTGCCACAGGTCAAGGTCTTGCTGAGGCTGGGTGACGGAGCAGTTGCCTGGCCTTTCAGCCCCACCCACTCTGCAGCTGCTCCACAGCCTGCTGTCCCCAGGCTGTATTTGGGCTGTCTTGGATTTAAAATAAAACACAACAAAAAAATCTGCTTTTTTTTTTTTTTTTTTTTTTTTTTTTTTTTTTTTTTTTTTTTTTTTTTTTTTTTTTTTTTTTTTTTTTTTTTTTTTTTGGTAGGTGTAGGTAGTTACCATAGCAACTGTCCTTTGCATTCACTTGTGTTTTGCAAAAATTTTCCTCTTGTGTGTCTGGTTCTTCTGTCTCCGTTGACTAGTGAGCTCCCAGGGGAAGGGACGTCTGGAGGCTGCTGTCTTTCTCCTGCAGGGGAGCCAAGGTTCTGGCTTCAGGATTCTAAGGAAGCCATAAGAAGTAGCCAAACTATTGAGACAGACTAACCCACCACCCTGATTCAGAGGCTGCCCAATAGCAAGCTGGTTCTGAGAGACCAACCTATTTAAGCCTTGTCCTAGCACTCTGACCTGTACTGTCACTGTCTCCACATTACAGGTGAGGAAACTGAGGCACAGAGTAGCTAAATAACAAGTCAAGCCACCACAGCTGATCAAAGTGGAGGGCCTGGATGCAAAGCCTGGCTGGGGGTCACCAGAGCCTGCAGTGGTTCTAGAGAGGCTTTCTCCAAGAGTCCCCAATCCTGGCTGGCCCAGCAAATGCATATGACACGTGGATGCCCATGCACACACACTTGATGAATTGGGACCTTGGGATGGAGGCTTTGAGTTCTAGGGATCTGAATTTGAGCTCTCCAGCTAGCTCACCGGGGTTGGACCGTGGACAGTTACCAGGGTCCCCGAGCCAGAGGCCCACTTCTGCAGCTTCAGCGCTGACTTGTCTGGCCTCACTGCAGCCTGTGAAGAGGAGCCAGAGATTCTGGGAGTGGCACTAGAGAGGAACCCTTGCTAAGCTTCTGACAGAGCCTAAGAGTCACCTGGCCAGTGCCCTCGAAGCTCCTCAGTCTGTCACTGCAGCGCGCGCGTCCTACTTTGTCTAGGGGCCAGGGACACCGAGGCCCCTGCCACACTGCAGTGGGCAGCAGCTCTGTGCTTGAGCCCACCTCATGCTGCTCAGCATGTAGCACAGCTGAGAGCCTGGAGACAACATCCAGGACAAGTCAGTGTCCGTGCTGAAACCCAGTTTCCCCCTGCATAGGGTGTCTGCGGTACTTCCCAAAGATTGGCTGCTTTTGCCATCCGCAGGAGGGGGTGGTTCCCTGTTTCCTCCATTCCCACACCCAGCAGCCTGAGGGGTGCAGGTGGCCACCAACCCTCAGGGGAGGATGATAAGGAGCAAGTTGTGGAACTGAGATCACACCTAAGCCTGAGAAATTTCCTCCTTGCTGCTGAAAGTGAAGGACAGAGACGCAGAAGAAGGAGAAGCGCTGCCCTGTGAGGTGGAGCAGAAGTCAGTGTAGCTGGAAGTCGGTGGGTGTGGAAGGTTAGGGCTGGCCGGGGGAGCCTGAGGTCCCTGTGTTGGTACCACGTAATAAAGATGATAACATATTTGCAGAAAGAACATCACTTCCAGGGTATGCAAGAATGCTGCAAAATAATGTGTGGCCCGAGATGGATGCATCCAGATCCCATCCCAGAGGTGCTTCTCACCACCCCAGGGAGAGGTGGGCTCCAGGTGTCAGCCTCTGGTGTCTGGGTGGGCCTGCAACTGTGGCAGAAGAGGTGTTCTGTGACTTCAGAGGCCAGATCTGCCGAGACAGCGCAGCTTCCTGTTGGTCCTCCGGGGACACGGATTAGGCTCTCTCAGCACCTCATGAGGGAGGCCAGGCCACAGGGATAGGCACACGAGCCCAGCTAGCTGCCCCAGCTGGAGTCCCACAACAGCCCGTTCAGCCACAGACCAGGAGTGAGGAAGCCTTTGGGGGACTCCAGCCCCACCCCCTCCTGACCACAGCTGCAGGAGGGGCTGAGTGATAAGGGCCCATCAGAGCGCAGTCAGCCCCCAGGACCACCGGAGCAAAGGAAAGCGATAACTGGCAGCATGTAAGCTTCTGAGCTTGGAGGAGGCTCATTACAGAGCCTCGAGTCACCGCAGGAAGAGGGGGAAAGCTATTTTAACCAAGATCTGGCAAGAGCGCAGCGTCTGGGCTCTGGGAGCAGTGTACATTCTCACTTTCAGTGCTGGACACTATCTAGAAGTGCAGTAGCTATTTCTAGCATTTTTATCTCATTACGCTAGTTTAACAAGAAAGTCAAATACAGTCGCTTTGCAAGCAGCAAGGGGACGGGGGCAGTGACGAGTGTGTACCTCGTGGTCCTCTCCACCTTGAAGGCAGACGGACCCCAGATGACATCCGCTAACAGTGATGGAAAGAAACAGGCGGGCATCCAAGAAGTGTGTGAGAGGGTGTATGTGTGAATGAGTGTGTCATTGTGTGTCTGTGTGTGTTTGTGTGTGTGTGTGCGCTTTACTCATAGTGATCAGAGCTTTAAACAAAACATGGAAGAAAGACTAGGAATGTTAATAAAAGAATACACATGTAGAAAGGACTGCCTAGACTTTAGGAGGCTGTAGTCTTTGTGGCTCATTGTCTAGGGAACTCTGCCTGCTCAGGGATCCCCCTGGCTCCTGCTTCATCCCCAGCTGGGAGTCCCCATGAGGAGGGGAAGCTGCTGACTCAGCAGCTGGGAGCCCTCTCCCTCCCCTCCCCCTCTTCTAGTAAGCACAGCACTGTAGCTCTGGCCAGCCAGACTTTGTTACCCACATCTGAGAGGGTGCAGGTCAAGCTGCACAGCAGGCCTGCTGACTCCCTATCTCAGTAGCCCCAGTTATGAGGGCTTCCTTTTGCTTCCTCTCTTCTTTCTCTGCCCTGTCTCACTGAGCCCTGCCCAGGCTGGCACTCAGGCAAACCAGGAAGGTCATGTGTGCTGTCTTCTCACAGGATGCCCCGTAAGATGTGAAGGAAGGACAGCAAGCCCAGATGGCCTGGTCCCCCCTTTGAACAGGTCACCCGCAAGCCTTGTGCTAGTGGAAAGGCTCTCTGGTCTGGGTAGCCACCCACTGCTGCGGGGCCTTTTCCTGAACTCTGCCTTGGCCACAGGATAGCGTCTCGAGAAGATACAGAGCTGGAGCACTCCTTGTGGTTCCAGATTGGCTTGGTGCAGTTGTGGGCTCTCCTTGAGGCACAGCTAGGGAGCAGGCTTCAGAGGGCGTGAGGGGGAGAGCACTGAGGCGTGCAGTCAGCGCTTGCTGAGGGGCTGCGGTGAGCTACTGTCTTTCTACCCAACACCACATGGCCCTTGGTGATCCATGTTCTAGGGAGGGACAAACTGAAGCTGGCGGGGGGTGACTTGTCCCCTATCACAGGTGAGCAGACAGGATTGAGCCCCCTCACGTCCCTAAACCAGGATACTTCTGTATAAGACACACCTGGCATATAGCAGGAGCTTCTTAAATATGGTTGAAAAATATGGATGGGCAGATGATGGAAGGATGGATGGATGGATGGATGGATGGATGGATGGATGGATGGATGAAAGGGTAGAAGGGTAGATGGATGGATAGATGATAGATGATGGATGGAAAGATGGACGAATGATGGATGGATGGGTGGATTGATGTGAATGGATGGGTGGGTGGATGGGTGGATGGGTGAACTCATCAGATGCAGGTTCTCAAGCTGGGCCCCTAATGATAGGTGTGTAGACTTTACACACAAAAAAATTCAAGACAGTGTATCCCAAACTGGCAGGCAAAATGAAGCTTGCAGAACTGCTAGGATGGAAGGGAACAGAGAGCAGAGGCTGGGATGATGCCTCAGGCAATTATGCCCACACTCTTGGCATCAACAGAGCCCTGGGAGGGGTCCTCCCCCTGAAAGCCCGTGTGTCTAGGCTGGGCCTGCTCAAGTGTTGGCAGGGGATGACTGAATGGGGAGGTGATGCTCCTGCCAGCCTCTTACCACCCAGCCTCTATGGTTGGGTAGCCAGGGAAGCCTGGGCCTATGGAAGGGGCTAAGAATGGGATAACAAGCCATTTGGGGCATATCCACCCATCTATATGCATGTACCTGAAATAGGTATTTTATAAAGAAGATAGGTTTATTTAGCTCAGTTTTAGAGACTGAAAGGCCAAGCTTGTGTGGTTCTATCTATTCTGTCTCTGGTGAGGACCCCAAGGACTCTGTCCCAGTACAGAAGGTGGCATCATGGTAGAAGGGATGAGACTTTACAACAAGGCAGGGAGTCAGACATTCGGGGTCCTTGTGCCCTCTGTGCAAAGTAGCATACCTGGGCCCCTCCCGGCAGCACCGCCCAGTGGCCTGGCCAGCCTTCTGTCCCAAGGCCCTGCCTCCCAAAGAAGCTATCACCTCTCAGTGACACAGCTCTGAGGTCAACCTTCCAGCAGGTGAACCTTTAGGGGACACATTCCAACCATCTCCAACCACACCAAGGGCCATGAGCCATCACTATTGTCATCACCACTATCTTCATCCCTGATCTTTTTGTTGGTTTATTTGTTTTCTAGCTCTGGGGATTGAACCCAACCTCTCTACAGCCTTTTTTAAAATTTGTTTTTAGTTCTGAGACTAGATCTCACTAAACTGCTAAGTTGTCCAGACTGGGCTTGAGCTGAACTCCAATCCTCCTGCCTCAGCCTCCAGAGTTCTGAGACTGCAGGCCAGTATCACTAGCAGGCTCTCCGGCATCACCAATTCTCCACAGTGAGGCTACGTGGCTAAGGGGGCTGGGAGGGCTTGCCAGGTCCTAGCCGCCCTCTGTCACCAGCAGCTGTGTACCCTGGCACACACCTTGTGGTGTGAGGGGACCTCACTTTTCTCGTATGTGAAATGGGGTAACTCACAGGCAGGTGGAGGACTGGTTCAGCTGGCCAAATGGAACAAACCGTTAGGTAGATTAAAAAAGGAAAAACTCAAGAGATCTACAACATGGTAACTACAGTAACACTGTATATTTCAAAGTTGGTTAAAGTAAGTTCTAAACGTTCTCAACACAAGAAAGGCAATTATATGAGGCAATATACACATGAATTAGTTTGATACAGCTATTCCTCAACATACATATTTTAAAACATGTTGTATGCAATAAATAGATAAATACATAAAACTTTCATCAATTGAAAATACATTTTTGAGTCAGGCTAACATACCTATCTCCTCAATCATCTATCATTTGTTTATGGTGAAAATTCATATATATATACATTGAAGCATTATCAAGTATTTATGGATCAGTTTAGAAATGATATAAATAGAAGCAATGTTTTTGATTTTGAAGTACAAAGGGAAATAGATCTTTTTTCTATGAAATATATTCAATAATGTTTTTTTAAAAGATAGGCAGTGGATGATAGTACACGATAATCCCATCATTCTGGGAGGCTGAGGCAGGAAGACTGAGCAACTGCCCAGCCTGGGCAATTTAGCAATTTAGTGAGGCTCTGTCTCAGAGTAAAAGTGGGGTGCAGGTGGAATTCAGTGCGAAGGCCCCGGCTCCAATCTCCAGGACGGCAGCAATGATAGACGGCAAGTAGATAGGTAGATAGATAGATAATATGGATGATGGATGATAGAGACACAGATAGACAGACAGAAAAGATAACGCACATAAAGGGCTTAGTCTCTTGCCCAACACATGGCGTCAGTCTGATTAGTGTGTAGTCACGGCTGTTTTTGTCATTAGCAAGCCTTTCTGTGACTGCACTGGGCCATTCCCGCAGGTCCTGATTTAGGTGGACAGGAAGATGACTTGGCAGAGGACGGAGATGGAGGAAGACTCAGGCTGCACCCCCTGCCTAGTGTCCCCCCTGCCCCCGCCTCCCCACACCTACCGGCTCTCCCTTTCCCTGCCCGGCGCCTCCCTCCCTGCTGGGGCAG